TTTTAGAAACCGACATGTACTTTTTTAATTTCGCTTTTGACGGCCTTTATTACATCATCCATAATCATAATGTAATATCGGGCTCAGAACTCCTCCCTGTCTCAGCCCATCTCCTATGATAAATTCCTCTGACGTCAACCAGCCGGGATGAATGTGTAGCATACTTCGGTCAGCTACTTGGGTGGAGGGCGAGCTGGGTTTACATCCTTGCACCGACTACTGGTGTTAGTTTAATCTTAGGACAGACTCCTTGTGGATTCATCACCATCATTGCAGGCACTACTCGCTTTGCCATATCCTGTGGCTTGGCAGATGACTTTTTGCTGTGCCAGATCGCTGGCTCATTCACATGTCACTTGTGGCATATCCAATATTGGTGTTTGACTGGCTTCTTGACGGTTGACTGTCATTTTTGGTACTACTTGTTGATTTGATGATAGAATGTTTATCAGTGTCGAAGGCTATGATTTTTTGATACAGCAGTGACTGGCGAAGATGTACTCGAATTATCTCGTTTCTACTCAGATATCCTAGGCTGGCCTAGTCTCTGAACATGCGCTGTAACTGGCTAACTGGTTAGTGCACTAGTCTGGATTTGAGTCTTTACCCCAGGTACCTGCACTACATTAACGATAAGTTCGACATTCTGAGGTTGGATCAGGTGAAAGACATGCGTTTACGGGAACGCTCAGCTACCTTTTTAGCAGGAAAGCTAAGTTTAGCAGCGCAAGACTTTTCTTTTCTTCATATTAATAGACCGTCGGGCTGAGTTATAGGCAACCTTGGTAGATTTCCTATGGTTACGCTTACCTGTTTTTTTTCGCAGCCGTATCACGAAGCTGATCCGTGGTATTTCGTTCGTAGACAATTTTAAGCTCCTTAGTTATATTGGCATTTCACGATATGCTTGCATTACCGGGAAGACCCCTTGCGAGTTTGCAAGTCTTGTGTGCAATAGCGGTGTGCATTCCTTATTTCTAAGAAAATCAATGAAGAGATCTAGGTCCACTGAGGCAGGGTCACGGTCTCCAGGTCTGGGGTTACTCATTTTCTTAGTTGGAATGTCGCTGACACATTTCATACAGGGTGCGGCAGAGAGGACGCACGTTTTTGGGATGGGTAGTACTCTCCGCCTCCGTCTCCGAGAGAGGTGGGGAGGGTGCCGTTTGACTCATGAGATCCTAGCATTATTTTACCAGTTGCCGTTATGGAGCCTTGGACGGTGAAGAACCGCGTTTTCGCCTATGATTGTTTCGTCCGAAATAATGATTTAGTCATCATCGTACAGCGTGAGTTTCGTCGCCACTTCAACATTCATCGGAATAGAGCTGTTCCCTCTCGAAACACCATCCTTCGTTGAGTTGAATTACTTCGCAAGCGTGGTGAACTGATCAACAGAAGACCAAGAGGAGCGCCGCGAACAGTTCGAACTCCTGAAAATGTTGAACGCGTTCGACAGGTCTTTCTTCGCAGTCCGACTCGATCTGCCCGGAAACATGCTGCTCCACTTCGCCTTAGTTATCGTTCGGTAAGGTGAATTTTGCATATGGATCTCCGCTTTCACCCCTACAAATTGTCCATTGTGCAACAGTTTCAGCCTGGAGATTATGCACAACGAATGAACTTCGCACGTGAGATGTAAGCACTGATTGATCAAAATGAGAACCTCATTTTGTTTATGAGTGACGAAGCCCACTTTCATCTAAACAGCGTGGTTAACCAGCAGAATTGTCGTTATTGGGCTATCGTATCGCAAACTTGCATCATTGGCCCTTACTTCTTCGAAGACGGTAATGGTCGTGATGTTACCGTGATCTCAGAGCGCTGCGTCGACATGATCACCACTTCTTTCTCCCTGAATTACGACGGCGACGTTTCCAATCCGACGTGTGTGGTTCCAGCAGATGGGGCGACCGCCCACACAGCCGAGCATCCATGGACGGTATTCACCTCTCTTCCCTGGTCGCCTTATTTCCAGGTTTGGCGATGTTCATTGGCCTCCTCGGTCCCCAGATTTATCCATATGCCGATTTTTTCTTATGTGGACACCTCAAGGCTAGAGTATACGCGGACAAGCCCCGAACTCTGACGAATTGAAGGGCGAAATTCGCGTGGTAGTCGCGCAAGTTGAGAGAGCGATGTTGGAGGAGTCTACGCGAACTTCCAAGAAACGCCTCCAGCACTGCATCAAACGGTTTCGGCTACCACATGACTGATGTGATTTTCCACACTTGATTCATCAATAAATTTGTTTTCGAGTAAAAATTAACTATTTTATGATTTTTTTAAAACCGACCATCCTCTCTTGCCACCCTGTTAATCTTTTACTATTATAGTTTCTGCTTTCTCTCTTCATACTATCCTTCTAGTTTTTCTCATCTTTATTCGTTCTATATGTTCCGCTTCTTTATCGGTGTCATCTCCAGTGAGATATATGATTTCAACTTCCCCTTCAAAGTTAGTAAATCGTGTCCAGCAGGACGCAGTAGGCGATCGCCTTTTAGACGTCCCCGGTGAAGCTGCCTTGTGTCTCTTAGATGTGTTTGGTTGCGAGTTATCTCGCTCATGATGGGTTTTCCCAGGCATCTTCTTTGGTTGCTTCATGCTCGGAAGTGGTTTATCCATCCAAAGGATGAATATATCCTAGGAAGGTCACTCGGATGTCTCCTAGTCTCCTCAAAATCCTCTCCACTTACAGTTTCTCCTCATCTTCAGACCTGCTGGTCCACAACTCAAGAATTTTTTTCTGCTGGCTTTACAGTTGTCTGGTAGCAAAATGAAGGCATGCATATTCATTCTCTTAAGCGATTGTGATTGAATATGCAGATTTACCCCGATATGATCGTCACAGTCGGGAGGTCCGGGTGGAATTCATTAGGTCCTTCAGGTCTTGCTAGTCTTCCACTAAGAATGACATGTGCCTCTTCGGCAGGGTGATCCTCAGCGCCCAGGGTTTCTGAGAGCTATCCGAAATGAGTCTGGTCTCGCGGTGGATAAGCATCCTGGAGAAAGTTTATCGACGACGGTAAATGAAATTTTGTAATATCTGTGACGCACAGAACATGCTTCAATCTTTTCTTCGCAGATTGAATTCTACTGAGCATGACTGAGGTCGAACCTCCTCCTCGTCCTCAGAGGTACTGATGTCCGTGCACACCCTCGGGCGGGACGCTGTCGGACATCGGCGCCGTTTAGAGCTAGTCCACTTTGAGAATTTGGTCCAGAAATGACGGACTTGATTTATACGTCCTCGGAGAGGTAGTACGATGCCGCTTGTCTTCACTAGTAGACCCTGCCATACTGCGGACTTGTAGGGTTGCCCTGCCACTATCTTGGTTAAATTGGTATGCTCCTCCGCCCTTTCGCTGTTACTACTCTGAGTCTCGTCAAAATAAGCCGCGTGTTTGACTTCCTCGGGAGGATCAGCATAGGTTAATCTCCTTGCAGACAAAACTACGATTTCAGTGTTCCATCACCTTTTTCCTTCCTTGTATTTGGTGGCAGCTCCTTGATATTAGCTGATTTGGCTTGGTCTTCGGTAGGAGTCTGGAGCCTAACTTGTATGTTTGTTCCGGTGAACACGAATCAAGGGACTTTTTGATCCTCTCCTTTCTAGCAAAGTCGGGAGTGGGTACCGCAATAGCTGAGCGCCGTACCTCTTTAGCCAAATCCCCGCGATTTCTGAAAAAGCATCGTAAACGCCCTGGCTACAGGATGATTGGCTGCACTACCCTGTATAACACCTTGCGGCACTCACTGCTTGGACCATGTGTGTTGGACATGATTCGTGCAAGCTTGGCCGAAACTTTGTTTGCCTTGATGGTTACCCGGTGTATATGCTGCCTGAATGACCTCACTTTGTCTATGGTAACTCCTAGGTAGGCTAGTGAGTTAGAAGAGACGACCTGGGTACCTCCAAGCATGAAGCTTCTAGAAAATGTCTCCAAAGTATTTCGAGGTAGTCTTCAAATTCCTTGTATGGGCTATATGGCGAAAAGTAGCACTAGTAGATATTTACACCAGGTAAGTGTAGCCCCTTGTACCCTCTAGCTTTAGTTATTTTCTTGACAGGTATTCTCTTTTTGCAATACTGAATAGCTAGGTTGGAATCTTTATCTTTCCATTTGATCTAACATTATCCACTTATTCTGAGTTCGTCAAACTTAGCCTCGTGTTTAGGTTTCCTCAGGAGATCAGCAGAGGATATATCTTGGGAGACACAATTACAGCTTCAGTGTTCCTTTTCCCTTCCTTATATTTGGTAGCAGTTTTACCTTATAGAAGTAGCTTTTTTGGTCTATTCTATTTGAGGTAGGAAAACCCTGCTGTGCTCTGGTCCAGCCTCTATGCACAGCACCAGATCACTGCAGTCCGTACTTTCCCACAGAGGGTTTCCTATCAATCACTTGGTCCTCCTGTAGTTGACTCAGTCCATTGCTTTGTCGCAATTTCTGCAATAGCATCGTGATCGTCCGAGGTTATTTCCAAGATCGTGGTTATTTGGAACGCTAGGTCTTTTTCAGACCTCTTTTTAAAATGCCTTGCACCCTGATATTTTTTTGTTTACTTGCACCTGAAGCACAGATTTTTTGTCTACAACCTTCTCCAGCAGATCTTTAATTATTCGTGACTATCCACCATTCTTTTCAACGGATATCGTCTACTCCTCCCTCTTACGTTTGGTAGAATTTTTATGTGCTTCCTCATCTCGTTCAAGTTCGATCCTCGACACCAAGTATGACCTTTCTCTTCTTCTTTATATCGAGGCATTTTTTTCCTTGATTTTCTGATTCTGGATAATAGTGGAAAGCATGTCCTGAAAACAGAAGCAGAAAGAATCGAAAAATCTATTAAGTTCAATGTTACGTGCCGATCGTTAAGTCCATCATGCTCCCTAAGAAACTAGAAACAGAATTCTTCAATATTTGACTGACTTGCCCTTCAAAGTTAGCAAATCGTTTACAGCAGGACGCAGTAGGCGATCGGCTCTTAGACGTTTCCCGTGAAGCTTCCTTGTGTCTCTTATGTTTGGTAGCGGGTTGTTATCCTGGTGTCCGAACCTTCTTTGGTTGCTTCACGTGCTGAAGTGGCTTGTCCATCCAAAGGCTCCAGGTCTCCAGATATCCTAGAAAGTGACTCGGATGTCTCCAAGTCTCCTCCAAATCTCTTTCTCCACATGCAGTATCTCCTCATCTTCAGAACTGCTAGACTTAAAAAGTTCAAAATTACCTGCATCAGGTATATATATATATAGGTGAAAATTAAGCTTCCGCCTTTTGTTGGGTACTTCGACAAAATTTAAGCAAAGAGGACTCTCTATACTCTTTTTAATTCCCTCTAGCTTTCAATGGACTTTGCCATCATCATCAGGAGCTGTAATTTACAATGATAACAGTAGCAACAAAAGTGTAAAATGAATTTAAATTGAATCAACTTACAGTAGTATGTGAGGATGTTGCTAATTGTTGGTTCATCTCACTCATTATTCCATGACCACCATTTTGTGCAATCATCAAATGGCTTCACGACGTAATGCTCTAATGTTTTCTAAATAATTTTTAATCTGTCTTTAACATGTCTTGTCATATTTTATATAATTTTAATAACCATTGCACCATGTATCCAGCTCTCACCATGTTACTGGACGTTTCCCTCATCCTATACGAAAACAACAATTAGTCAACATCCTCACATACTACTGTAAGTTGATTCAATTTAAATTCATTTACGCTTTTGTTGCCACTGTTATCATTGTAATTGCAGTTCTGATGATGATGGCAAAGTCCATTGAAAGCTAGAAAGAATTAAAACAAGTATAAAGAGTCCTCTTGCTTAAATTTTCTCGAAGTACCCACAAAAGGCGGAAGCTTTAAATTTTTCACGTACTGGTCTAGACGACAATGACCACGTCTCAAGTTATATATATATATATATTATATATTAATCAGACAAAAACGTTGAATTTTAACTGGAGAAAATTCAATCACAAATTCCAAAGAGAGCTCGTCAGCTCGTTGATAATATGGATAGGACAGACCTCGGAGATGACAGACTCATGGGCAAAGATGGCCGTTCCACCACACTTGCTCTCAGATCTGCAAATACTACAAACCAGTGAAAATTAATTTATGCAGGTGCACTAAATTTGATAATTTTCTGACCAATGTTCATCAATACAAAGAAATTTTGTATATTGTTCTTGACCGTAAGCTTCCAAAGGTCTATTTTACCTGGCAAGCTCGTATGGATATTTATTATCTCGTCATGTTATTGTTGTCTTTGTGGAACACATGTTCGTTGTCAGGTGGAATCATTTTTTTGCCTCAGTAGGCCAAGAGGCAACAAGTGTATAATCCCGACTTGACTCAGCTGTTTCTGGGGAGACTCTCTACCATCAAGGGTAAGGTAACGGCTGAGACAATAATACCACGATTAAGTTGCGAGACACTGTATTCACTGAACCCCTATAGATATAAACTTATTGGAAATAGGGAATCTTAATTAAACTTAAAATATGTAGCCCTTCTGGCGCGCGCGACACGCTGACCCTCTTGCTCGCAATCCGTTCATCAGTAATCACCTGTGGTTTCTCATTGATTTTTGTAGCAAGATCCTTCTGTCTGAGTCCTTTAGCTTGACGCCCTTGCTGAATCAACTTGCCAACGTCCAATGGAATGGTTTCGTGTTTCAGTTCTTCAGTCTCACGATCAAGCTTTGCAGTATTCTTTGTGGTCACATGCTGTTTGTTACTACCAGATGTATTGTATTGAAAAATATAATTACATGTCCACACCACACACATAGTCTAAGCTGTAGACGAGAATATTGATTTGCCAGAATTAAACTTTGTCAATAAAGAGTGACATCTGTATGAGTTTAAGCTAGGGTTGCCTTTTGAAGAATTTGTTGCATTCGTTAACTTATATTTCTAGAATACTTACCTGGTGCATCAAAAGGCGGATGGTCTTTTATTCGAAATACATTCAATATATAATCCCTTGTACCGCAGAATATAATGTGTGTTTTTCTGGGTTCTTTTGGGTGTGGATTAAAACTCGAGATTCCACAAAAATAAATGCACTTCTTTACTTTACTTGACCAGATAGAACATTTATGTACACCACTATTTATGTCTAACTAATTCTTATGCCGCGCCATTGATTGCACTCCACTCCGCTCTACTCTAATGTACCCCGCACCGTGCTTCCATCTCCCGGCCGTCGAGTTATATATACTCCGAATCGCTGCTTCGAGAGAGGTATGGCGAGCGACAAAGCGGCATCTAGAATATTTGAGGTCACCTGGCGTAGATCTAGAAGGCGAGTCACTGGTACGGGAAGGAGAGTCTCCTAATAGATGGCGCCAACAGTACTATCTATTATCGTCACACTGCCCCCTCGGTAAAGTCATTCCATCCCGGAATGATCTTATTGGCGGTGGATCTCGATATCGGCACGACTGCCCTTTCTTGCAGTAGGAGTTCTTAAGAATAACAATCCACACTCCTTCCAGGAGGTAGCCGTCTAGGACTGTGACAACATACCAGAAATCGAATGGCCATTAGCATTGTGAGCCATAAAAAGATCAAATGTCATGTCCGATTCTGGTTGGATTTGCTGCATCGCCGCATCTTCGTTGTTTCCATGATAAGGTGCCCTGTAGTCGACGGAGTTTTTGAGGATCTATGACTGTAGGTTCTGATGGAGAAGGACTGACTTTGTGGCAGATGGGTTGTGGAGTCTTTATATCTAGCATAGATTTCAACTAATCCTAGTCATTTCTCAACTAATAGATATTGATTCAGCTTGTGGAAAACTCTGAATGTATAATTTAATTTTTGTAAAAAATGTTCTTGCCATTTAATTTTTGCCGAGCTATAGGTAAGGGAGGCAGCTGCTCCTGGGTACGCCCTTGTATAGATAGAAAGCACTTTCTGGGATTTACTAGCCTTCATTGAGGACATGCAACATTGCAAATTACCGAGGAGATGTCTCCAAACATCCTAATGTAAATAAACAGGTCTATATTTTTTTAGCGGTGTTTTTGAGATGTAAATTTGAATATTGTTGGCTCGTCGGCAATTGTTTATGAAGTTACACGTCTCGTTGAAGGGTGTCTGATAATTCTAGGTCTTTAACGACCTCACGTCCATTTTTGAAACTGTTGGACTACTTGAACATCTGGCTCCAATAAAGCTAAACGTTTCCTTAGTCATTCTGTCGAAACGGAAGCAAAATGGGAGATTGCATTGCATGCAACTGGGTTGCTGCACGGCAATTATGAAACGCGCTCTGTATTGGTTTTTGTCAATAATAATGTAATGTATCTATTTGTATTCTGATCTACCTGTATATGTCATGGAAATGACACTTCGGTCCGGAACGTCAACCTGAACGTTTTGCCAAAGGACTGTTATTTAAAACTGTTACAATTACTGCTTAATAGACCACTTGACATTTGAAATAAAAGTGCGTACTACTTGTGATCCTTTGTAAGCGTATCCCGTACAATACCAAACATTACAGTGGCATGCATGGTACGATTCTAATAAAAATTACAGGTTACCACAGCTGAGGAAGATTGGAAATGCCGTTTGCACCCACCCGCTCTACCAACTGACGAAATAACCTGGATATGTTCAGAATGCGGAGATTGGATGTGTAAACCTAGCGTAGAATTGCCAAAGATCAACATGACCCTGCACGAAGCACTCCAGAATCCCGTTTTAGGAATATCTGAGCCGTTATGCGACGATCTGGTGGTATGTCTATCGAACCCGAGGTATCAAGTACTCAGTTGATACCTGCCTTGGGACGACCTCCATAGAATTTGCAAAATGTACTTGCATGACCCGCAGAATGCTAAGAATTTAGTCACTGAGCTGAAATTTGTTGACATAGATTACTCTATGTTTAAAAATATCAAGACAGAACCACTGGATGAGCTTGCTGGTATTGAAGAGGATACGAACAGTATTTAGATCAGAATTTTGTTTCTGATGAAGAATCGCCGTCAAATAGCGAAGATTCGATGTCACAGGACTCACGACCGTACAGTCTTGGAAGTGACGGCCGGAGACTTCTTTTTACCGTTACTGAATACACTACCGAAAAAATTCGATCCCACGACCTTCAAAACCCTGAGAGAATTTAGACCGGCATTAAAAAGGCACAAGGATAAGGATTCGAACGAAGGCACGCCTGAAAAACAGTTCAAGCCTTCTTCTAGCGAACCTCAGCCTTCGACTTCGACAGCCACAGATGAGTCAAAAAACGTAAAACTTGCCACATTGCGCCAACTTCGTGGGCAAGTGGCAAAGGAAATGAAAGTAATGAAAATAACGCTAAAGGATATATTAAAAAAATTACATCAGAAAACAGAAAAGAATCCATGGAGCAACAACCTCTCAAGGAGATAGTATCTGTAAAACCAACAGAACAACATTGAACAAAGAAACACAAAACAGGCTCTCGTTCAGTTCATCCAGAAAAATCTGGATATCAGCAGCTCTCAGAAGAAAGTTCTCATAAGCATACCCAAGGAAAGAATAAAAATGTCTCAGGTCATTGCTCAATACCCGCCACGAAGTCAACCAAGAACCATTACGCGGAAGCATACGCCTCTGATACTAAAATCATCAAAGTCAACTCATCAAATCAAGGTAGTACCTCCAAGCTCCCAGAAAGAAACCAGTACTCCGCTCTCATTGGAACAGAAATTACTGCTGCGCTCTCGGCAAACGCAACCAGTGCTGGAAAACCCAATCAACGAGGTGGCACCAGTGATTCGCAAGTAGGAGCTATCCCTTCAATCCGCACCACGTCCAAGCACACTGTCTCCCAAGATTCAAGACTCACATCCAATAACTTCAGTGGAAACTCAGTCTCAAACGCCAGCTATCGGCCAGCAGTTGGTACGCAACACGATACCACAAAGTTTGATAAGCCCACAACCAATCAGCAAGACTCTGCAAGTTCACGACACTCAACCCAACACCTCAAAAGGACCGAGTACACCACAGCCTGTAAGGAACGACAAAATTACGGATCCTCAGCCCAGCACCTCAAGGAAACCACTATTACTACGAGTGAAAACACCTGTGTGGCTCAGTACAGCGGATGTACCTCAACCTCGGGGAACCAGCTCAGAATTAATAATCGCAAAAAGTCAAGCGGTTTTACCCCAGACCAGCAAAGCATCAACAGCAGTGACACCTTCCAAACAGCGAGCCAACATTCTGCAACCCAAGGTGATTACCTTGGCTCAGCATCAGCCATGCCTATTTCAGGAAACCAGTTTACTATCAACATCCCAGAACTCCAGGCAGAAGTACCTGCGGCCAGCCTAGTAAAAACTACGGCCAAGGAGGTCAGTCTGCCTCAGCCAAGGGAACATCAGGGATCCAGTTCCAAATCAGTTCTGAGAAGCAAAGCGGAAGTATCTCCAATTCCAGTCAACGTGGTCACTCTTCCTATACCAGTGGTACCTCCGGGGAGTACTCCTCGAGTAAAGACGCTCTCTATCCTTCAGATAGTGCCGCCTCGAACAACAAACGCACGGGCAGTACCCCAGCCACCATCTGTCAGTCCGCATTCAACAACAAGACTTACTTCACCACCAGTAGTACAAAAAATGACTGTCAAACGTCAAATTTTGGATATGCCACAACAAATAGCTTATGTGACTCAGCAAGAAGTCAGTCATGTAGTGGCCAGGGATATGACACAACAGGAATTAACATCTGCCAAGCCTCAGGAAGTCAGTCTAACGTTGAAGGATATGGCTCAACAGGACCTCCAGTCTACGTCTCAGAATATTCGAGAACCCAGTCCTTCAAACAGTCAGACTCTAACAGAAGCTGGGACGAGGGGGATGGACCGACTTATTCAGGCAGCTCGAAATTTCGATGCTCGCCAAAAGGAGAAGCACAATATAACTGTTCAGAAGCAGCGAATCCAAGCAGGCAACCTCCAGGACACACAACTCATACTACAGGCCTCGCTAGAAATGAAGTGCACGCTACAGGAAGTCGGCCAGGGTCAACCATCTTCATCAACTCAGGCAGCATCGTTACAAAAGGACATCCCAATCGTGTCTCCCATGAAGACACATCAGATATTAACAGAAATCTATCCTTGGCTAGAAGGGAGCAGACTGAGCACACCATCCCCAGAATTTGCTCAGTTAGTGCAACAGATAACAACAGAGGTTCACAATCCTTCGACGTTGCAGGAGGACAGCCCGGTTCAACAAATAGAGACCAGTCCACCTCAGTTGCCACTAGAGGACTTGATGGATCAACTGTCTTCCTTACAAGAAACCGATCCAACATCACCAGATATCAATCCGCCTCGATCACTGCCAGAGGAACTATTTCAGATCGAAAACCTGGATCACTTAGTCAGTCATATAACTCAAAAAACCAACAGCATGCCGACTACACCTCCACAGGAGTCGCACAAACTTCCAGTAGAGATGAATCTTCGTCTCCAACAAGAAATCAGTCCTTCTCCTACCCTGTTAGGCAGTTCATCTCTGCATGCGATGGAAAAGGATCATCTGCCTCCACAACCCATCTGCCACAAAGTCAGTCCTTCTATCAGAACCTACAGTCATAGATCCTCAAAAACTCCGTCGACTACAGGGCACCTTATCATGGAAACAACGAAGATGCGGCGATGCAGCAAATCCAACCAGAATCGGACATGACATTTGATCTTTTTATGGCTCACAATGCTAATGGCCATTCGATTTCTGGTATGTTGTCACAGTCCTAGACGGCTACCTCCTGGAAGGAGTGTGGATTGTTACTTCTTAAGAACTCCTACTGCAAGAAAGGGCAGTCGTGCCGATATCGAGATCCACCGCCAATAAGATCATTCCGGGACGGAATGACTTTACCGAGGGGGCAGTGTGACGATAATAGATAGTACTGTTGGCGCATCTATTAGGAGACTCTCCTTCTCGTACCAGTGACTCGCCTTCTAGATCTACGCCAGGTGACCTCAAATATTCTAGATGCCGCTTTGTCGCTCGCCAAACCTCTCTCGAAGCAGCGATTCGGAGTATATATAACTCGACGGCCGGGAGATGGAAGCACGGTGCGGGGTACATTAGAGTAGAGCGGAGTGGAGTGCAATCAATGGCGCGGCATAAGAAGTTAGACATAAATAGTGGTGTACATAAATGTTCTATCTGGTCAAGTAAAGTAAAGAAGTGCATTTATTTTTGTGGAATCTCGAGTTTTAATCCACACCCAAAAGAACCCAGAAAAACTACATTATATTCTGCGGTACAAGGGATTATATATTGAATGTATTTCGAATAAAAGACCATCCGCCTTTTGATGCACCAGGTAAGTATTCTAGAAAATAAGTTAACGAATGCAACAAATTCTTCAAAAGGCAACCCTAGCTTAAACTCATACAGATGTCACTCTTTATTGACAAAGTTTAATTCTGGCAAATCAATATTCTCGTCTACAGCTTAGACTATGTGTGTGGTGTGGACATGTAATTATATTTTTCAGTACAATACATCTGGTAGTAACAAACAGCATGTGACCACAAAGAATACTGCAAAGCTTGATCGTGAGACTGAGAACTGAAACACGAAACCATTCCATTGGACGTTGGCAAGTTGATTCAGCAAGGGCGTCAAGCTAAAGGACTCAGACAGAAGGATCTTGCTACAAAAATCAATGAGAAACCACAGGTGATTACTGATGAACGGATTGCGAGCAAGAGGGTCAGCGTGTCGCGCGCGCCAGAAGGTCTACATATTTTAAGTTTAATTAAGATTCCCTATTTCCAATACGTTTATATCTATAGGGGTTCAGTGAATACAGTGTCTCGCAACTTAATCGTGGTATTATTGTCTCAGCCGTTACCTTACCCTTGATGGTAGAGAGTCTCCCCAGAAACAGCTGACTCAAGTCGGGATTATACACTTGTTGCCTCTTGGCCTACTGAGGCAAAAAAATGATTCCATGACAACGAACATGTGTTCCACAAAGACAACAAAAACATGACGAGATAATAAATATCCATACGAGCTTGCCAAGTAAAATAGACCTTTGGAAGCTTACGGTCAAGAACAATATACAAAATTCTTTGTATGGATGAACATTGGTCAGAAAATGATCAAATTTAGTGCACTTGATAAATGAATTTTCACTGGTTTGTAGTATTTGCAGATCTGAGAGCAAGTGTGGTGGAACGGCCATCTTTGCCCATGAGTCTGTCACCCCGAGGTCTGTCCTATCCATATTATCAACGAGCTGACGAGCTCTCTTTGGAACCTGTGATTGAATATTCTCCAGTTAAAATTCAACGTTTTTGTCTGATTAATATATATATATATATATATATATATATATATATATATATATGAGACGTGGTCATTGTCGTCTAGACCAGGTAGGTGAAAAATTAAAGCTTCCGCCTTTTGTTGGGTACTTCGACAAAATTTAAGCAAAGAGGACTCTTTATACTTGTTTTAATTCTCTCTAGCTTTCAATGGACTTTGCCATCATCATCAGTAGCTGCAAGTACAATGATAACAGTAGCAACAAAAGTGTAAAATGAATTTAAATTGACTCTACTTGCAGTAATACGTGAGGATGTTGCTAATTGTTGTTTACGTATAGGATGAGGGAAACGTCCAGTAACATTGTGAGAGCTGGATAGATGGTACAATGGTCAAAATTATACAAAATATGACAAGAACAAGTTAAAAACAGATTTGTGTGATGTAATCCTTCCTTTAAGAGATCTGGAGGTCTCTATATGATTGGTTGCAGTGTTACAATGATGGAGTAGACGTGTATTGGTTAAGCCAAGCAGCGGGACTTTGTCTTTCATTTTTGAAAAAATGCAGTTTATAGTGAGGACGGATTTGCAAGCAATTCGAAAGTTCAAAGGACTGCACAATCTGATCAGCTTAGGGGTCAGTTCCTTGATATGTTTACGCCTGTTCTTTGCTGTCAAAGTGGTGGAGTTAGTTCGTCCAGAGCTAGTCGATGGCATGGAGGAACTAGTGCTAGCAATGTCTGAGAGTTCTTATTCCGTATTTCGATTGTAGATGCCCAATGCGTCTAGCTCGAACCTGTTCATCTGTTCCTTTCTTGCGATCTTCAGACGCCTTCTGTACCGTTCAAACTGATCCTTGAACGACAACAGTTTTAGGTCGCCTAGATATTTGCTCAAACCGTCGGCAATAGTAGGCAGTTCTAAATCAAGACCCAGTGATACTGCTAGGCATATGGCGTGCCTGAAGGACTTGAAGTCCATCAAAGTCTTGATCGTCTTCTTATAATCTTTATTATGGGATTCCAACACTATCACAGCTTCCTCTACCCTTTTCTCTTTTACCAGGTCATCCGCAATCTTCCCCAACACATCTCGCTTGACAGATTCATCATACTTCAATACAGTCATAAGCCTTATGACCTCTCTCCAGTCTAAACCAAGTCTATATTCTTCTATCGCCTCTTATGTATGTAGTCCAGCATTCATGTAGACGACAGCTGCCTCTTGAAACTTGCGTTTTCTTGAAAGGCATTGCGCATAGAGTCTGATAATTTGAAAGTAGTTTCGATGGCACGGGTCAACGGTTTTGTATGCTTCCTTCTGCAGGTCGTTAAGAAATATGAAATTTTCAACAAGCCCTTCATCAAATCCGTCATATTATACATTTCATTATATAGATAACGAACGGCCTGTAGAATTCACGAGGTGTAGTTATTTCCATCGGAGCACGTATGTCATACACAGCAAGATACTGTTCTCAGTAAGATGGAAGACTGTTGCATGCATCCTCAGTAAATTCATCATAATTGGAGTGTGAAAGAGTCACAACAATAAAATTTGCTAGGAGTGCATTTGGAATTTCAATCTTCAATTCACGGATATAATCTATGATCAGTTATTTTCCCATACCTATAGTGCCACTCTTGTGTACATCCAATGCATTTGACACAAAAATTACATCAATCATAGTAGCTGAATTCTTGGTGATTCTTGTAGGTTCACCAGTAACTGAACGAGATTGAATAATGCCATGGATTGTAAGATTTTTCTTACTGGGATTCGAAAACTTATCGGTAGGTCAATATAACTTCATCATGGGCAATGCTATGGAAGGATGGTTATTCTCAAGGCGAGGAAGTAAACTTAATGCAGGAGATGTCAAATAACACCTACCGCACTGATCTCATTATTTAGTTTTAGCGATAACCGCAGATCTAATGCCATCCGAAGAAACTGTTACAATCTATGACTTTAAATTTTATGTTGGCATGGATATAAAAACATGCTCCACCTCCTCTTTCTTGTCTGTCAAAATCAGGTGTAAATCATATCTCTGTTATGGTTTGTGTAGTAGGAGGTTCGTTTGCTCTAATGCCTAAAAACATATCAAAGCTTGGATAAAGTGGAATAAGTGATCTTATATTTACACGTGCTACGTCTGTGCTATTTTTCGCGACGCCTTCACTGTGAGCAATGGTTGGCCTTTTCATTGAATCTTCTGACTTGATTGCTATATTCATCAACATCCAAAAAATATATCATTTTCAAAAACTTCCGCCACTGAGCGTGGGCAGTGAGGTATCAGGGATCAATATACTTACGACAGTAACTTTAAATCATTACATGCATGTCCGTCATACTTTATGGCAGATAATTCCAAACATCAAGCTAACTGATTTTCATATTTGGACAACCCTAAGTTTGAGGTAGACTTTTTATGAAACTGAACCGGTTTTCAGTTTGGTGAGATACGTCAATTCGAATGCGCTTAAAACAACATTGATAACAGGTCGATGTCACTATTACTTACATAGACAAATCCATTTTCTGTACACTCGGAAATTTTGCTGCCATAATGGTTCCAGCACAAGCAGTTGATGTAATCGTCGTTCACGTCAAATATTGCCACTATCTTGTAGTCAAATGTTGCAGGTAGTTTGCTATGATCCAAAATGAGAAGTCTTTTCCCATTTAGTGTGCATGCATAGGTCATGCAGAATGAACTCTTAGTAGTATCGCTGGTATTACAGTGGATTCCAGATCAAGCATGTCAGCTTATGCTCTGCCATTAGTAAATCGATTTGGATTAGTTCTCTTGAATAAACAAGTATCAGTCCCAAGTTAGAAGCAATCAGAAGGGTCGAATAACCTAAGTTCCAGTCGGATGTATACACGGAGAAAGTATCTGGCGTGTTAGCTGGTGTAATCGCTAGGAAATAAAATAATTTGTAATGAATTACTATGTAATAGTATTGATTAAAGTATTTTATCCGAAGATAGCCCTAATGCTAGATTCCCGCGTTAAAAAAATATCCGTGAGAAATTTGTCATAGGTGTCTTTCTATTTACTAATATATATAGATAACTTGAGACGTGGTCATTGTCGTCTAGACCAGTTAGTGAAAAATTAAGCTTCCGCCTTTTTTGGGTACTTCGACAAAATTTAAGCAAGAGGACTCTTTATACTTTTTTAATTCTCTCTAGCTTTCAATGGACTTTGCCATCATCATCAGGAGCTGCAATTACAATGATAAGTAGCAACAAAAGTGTAAAATAATTCAAATTGACTCAACTTACAGTAGTATGTGAGGATGTTGCTAATTGTTGTTTACGTATAGGGTGAGGGAAACGTCAGTAACATGGTGAGAGCTGGATAGATGGTACAATGGTCAAAATTAT